TTGAACTTTTAGGGTTTTATAAATTGTGTAGTAAAAGAGGTTTTGCTACAGTTGTATATTTGCTGAGAACCTTAAAACCATCTGGTTAAAAGTTTAAAAAAGTGAAAATTTTATAAAAATGTTTCAACATTTGCTTAACATCTTTATCAAGTCAAAGATGATCAAAACTGTGCAAATATAATTGTAAAAGAATTCCTAAGAGACATAAAAAAATATTTTAATATAATATAATATGATTCAGTCAGGTATTTGCACACAGAGTCATGTAAATGTTTGACATGAATAGAGTCTTTTTCTACTCCTTAATGAGAAGCATTTCAAAAATTAAGCAATCAAACATCGATCTGCATTTTTTCAAGACAGAGAATTTCTTATCCCTAGGCAGACCATGTTCCTCTAGATGCCTCCCAACAGCTGAATATTTGAGTTTGCTAATGCCTACTTCCTCCACCTTGAACATTCTAAAAGATGATGATGGACATTTCATCAAGTAAACCACATCCCAAACAATGGACAAGTATCATTGTAGAGCTGCCAGCCTCTGCAAACAGACCATTTTTCACCAACAAGACAACAACATCCTGAGTGAATTGTGAACTAGGCTTGGTGTCAGGCTAAAAAGCCCCCCTTAACTAAGAACCCTCCCTCCCATAAAAACTATTCTTAAACCATGAGCTATTAGAGAATTTTAACATGATTGACAAAATATTTAGCACTCGCAGTTTGACACACTACCTGTGAAATAGCAAGACCAAATGCTGTCGGTGAAAAAAGTGACAATGCCCACTTCACAGGGTTGGGTACATCTACGATGATCAGAGGAATAGCGATTGCACCAAATACTGTCGTTATTAATGACGCAAACAGACCTGCGCTCTTGGCATTTTTGAAGAATGGTGTGAACATGAAGGACATCATGATGATGGTTATACCATACAGGTAACATATTATGACCATCACAATGTAATTACTCCCGCCAAATATTCCCCCTGGTATGGTGATGGCATTCATGATGAGCACGGCAAAGAACATGATCACAGCATAGGTAATGACCCAAGACAACCAGTAGGCGACATCTGACGTGCCCATGATTCTCATCAACTCCTTAAGCTTATTCTCCTTCTCCTGTACCAAGTTGATGAGTAGAACAGTGACATAAGGTGCAAACGCCATCACAATGTAAATCAACACAGTGTAGGAAAATCCTTGTAGAGACGGCGTGTAAGACTCTTTCGGCATCATCTTTGTTTGGATGTTTGGCACAATGTAGTAAGGCAAATTGGCTTCAACCTTGAAATGAAAAAGAAAAAGGTCCTAACTAACAATCTTTATTTGAAATCTCTGTTTCAAAAACCCAGGTATGGTAGCAAGTTTAAAAGACATTTGAGACTGAAGTGCACAACCTGTTAACTCTTCCATGACGATTTAAGCATCATAGGTAAAATTTTAAGAATGGCTACAAACGCTCTGACACATTTATTAATTTCCAATTGAGTGGTCAGTGGTTTATGTCAGTCACTGAATAAAGGAAATTACTTTGCATTAGGGTCTGTTTACAAGGAGGGAGGGTTACCCTAGCAAGTGGGTTAACCCTAGCTGGAGGGCAAAAGATAGCCTGGGTTTACAAGCAAAATTTTACAGGTAGGGTAACCCCACAACTTAATGCACGGTTACGCTCAAAGGGTCTGGAAACAATTAGAAAGTTAACCCAGGTAGGCGGGTTAACCCTACCTGGAGTGTTCACAACGGAAAAAGTTAACCCACCTTCCAGGGTAACCCTAGCATGCAGATAGGGTAACCCACCTACCCGGGTAACCCTAGCTGCCTTAAAAAACACAATGAAGAAAAAAAGAGGAAAAGTGTGAGTGCTAGGAAAACCAACTTGCTAGGGTAACCCGCCTTCTAGAGTAACCCTTTCCTTGTAAACAGGCCTTTAGTCAGTAATATTTTACTTTACATATCTCAGTTGTGTTTAAAGATGATTTCCAGTCCATACTGCATAGTCTCACAACCCTAATGTTTATAAACATACAAAAACCTCACTTGATAGAATGCAAATCAATATTATTCATCACAAACCACAACCCTTATCTTTAAGGGCTTTCAAATTCTTTTTCCAACTGCTTCATTCATTTTTACAGCTGTAAAGTTGTTTCATCAAATGATATGAGAAAGAACAAAACATAAAGTTTAGTGTCGCTTCGTGCCCATGACAGCAGTTGACATGAAACTGAATTTACTTTATGTGAGTAGTTGCGAAATGTTCACATTCTGTGACAACATGCATGAAACAAAACAAAAAAAATAAACAAACTCTTGAGAGTGCACAATATGGACTGGAAATCATCTTAAAACTATCCTTTTAATTATTATAATTTAAACTGACATAAATAGAAATAAAATATAAAATAAGGTATTTGAAATGCAAAACATTATATATGTAAATCAGGCAACCACCGAAATGGTATCACACCTTCGTAATAGCAGCATCAATACTTGCTTGTATGGTAGCAACTTTCAGTACGATGTAAGAATTGGCAGGACAATCACTAGGGTCAGAAAACCTCGATATATCATGACATCTGCCTTGGTCTTAAAGGAGATAAAAAGCAGCAAAATTATTGTCAAAGTTAACTACAACAATGACCAGCTAAAATATGTGACTGGAATTCTGTAGTGATGTAAGCCATTACATGTGTGATCTTCACAACAGAAACCAGACCATGAATGGTTACCCATCATTCATGGAACAACTTTTTTGAGACACACTATCACAGGAATTTAATACAGTATAATTTGCTAAGTGATATTCAATCTAACTGGAGTGCACACTTGCATTATGGTTAGTCTGAAAAATGTCCAGGTTAGTCAGATTATGGTTAGCTCTCAGCAATAGAAAATTGTTAATGTTAACATGTATACTTAAAAAGTATGCAGACTGCAGTTAGCAGTTTACCCGTGGTCTGCAGTCTGCATTTTACTATTGCTCTGCAGTCAACAAACAACTCAATAGGGAGTAAACAAACAAACAACCATAATAGGGACGAAAAAATCTCTGGGGAGTCGGAGAGAGGCCATTTTTGAATTATTATTACTATTTTTTAAATACCTCTTAGTTGTTGATTCTGGACTATGTTATGACTGAATGGATGGGCAGGTGAGTGGGCAGATCAATCTGAAAACATTAGTGAAACCCCAGATTTCAGGGTCTTACGTAGGAGACGATTGTTCAGAACAACAGTTGCTGGACATTTAAGATTTCAATTAAAAGTTAAACTGTTGATTGGAAGTGCAGAGAGTGGAGCAGTGTATTGATAACTTCTGTCACTCACAAATGTAATCTGAGACACCAGTTGAGAGTCACGCCACTCCTCATTTTTGCCGCAGAAATGCAAACAAGTCAACCTCTCACACCTTTCTCGCTCGCTCCACCGCTTCGCAACCTAACACCTTGCAGCTCTCTTTGTTCACTTAGCTATGCTGCCCTGAAACTCATTAGGTCAACTTGTGGCAAGTCTACCTGTTCCTTTACCTCACTAAAAAATGTTCCTACGCCCCTTGCATGCCCATATGTTCTTAGTATTAAATTCCAGAGGGCCACCTACCCCATAAGGGAGTTCATATGCTCCCTCACTAACCCCTACACAAAGTTAACACATTACCAAAGTTAGCACTTCCTGTGACTATCCAGCTTATGGACCTGGTGACCTGGTAATGGCCTTTAGGCACGTAGTCATCTCAAGTCTAGACAGCAGACAAAAATACTGACAACTGGTGTAAGTGATTTGGAAATTTTGAAAGGAACCCCTAAAAGGTAACAAGATCCTGTCATGTGGGCATGGCTTGAAATTTCTTTTCACCCCTAGGAGGTACCAATTCTAAAATAACACATTTATAAAAAATACCCCAAAACCTCCTGCTGTGCAGCTTTTGTGGCTGAACACCTTAGGAGATACCAAAAGCGCTTCTTTAACCCCTGAAAGGTACGACGAACACCCCTGTACTTCTTATATGGGAGTTGCCCCCTCCCCGTCCCCCACCCCCCGGACTTTCATCCTCAGCTCACCTGCAAGTTTGTTTTCAGTCGACGGAACAGCTTTCACAGGGACACGGATCGTGTAAGCAACGCCTTTGTTCTTGCTTTTCGCGAATTCAATCCCTAGTTGCAGGCCTGAACTTTCGCTGTACTTTCGATAATAGTTCGCCATGCTGTCGGTGCTGTTAAACTGGAGATAGGTCACGGCGCCATTAGATGCGTTTTGCACCAGCTCCATCACTCGATCAGCGTTCGGAACGTTGTTGATGACAAAACCGATTGTTGGCTTGCTGGTTGCATTGCCCTGCGGTAGTGAATTGGACAACCCCAGCGTGGACACATTATTTGTGGGTATTTCACTGTCTGTCACGGCCGGCAGCTCCTTCGTTCGCACGCTAAGTTTTATGAGCAGGAGAAGCAAAATCCACCATATTGGAATGAGAATCTCTTGCAAAGTTTCCCGCTTGTTTCGTTTTTTTATGTGAAAGTTTTTTTGAAGCAGATATTTCGTTTGAAGTAAAATGCCCATTATTGCGGACTAAATCGTCGACTACAGGTGGACATAGCACAACCGGTCACCATCCCTTTTATAAGAGCGGTTTTGTGGTGAACGGGTATGAGAGCAGCCTGGAAACGAGTATACGAATATGGAAGTGACACAATGTGCTAAAAAAAGATATAAATACGTCACACAATATGCGTATGTGGTCATATGATAAAATTTACGTTTCTATTGTTTTCTGTCGTGATTCGTCGATTCCTACATGACCCTATATGCTAATTCGATTCTTTTAATGCACGTACAAATGACAATCAAGAGCTCCTGTACCAAATTAAACCGTTTTTCAAATTTCCTAATCGTTCACCTGCAAGTGCAATATGTAAGTTTTACTTTGCTTTTACACACGGCTTCCTTGTAAAGCAGGTTTTTTAACATTTCTTTTATTGCAGTAGTTATTAATGATTTATAAGTTAGGTAGTTAGACTAATTTAATTCAATATTATTAAGTCGAGAAGGAAATACCGTGTCTAAATAAAGATCTTATCTTATCTGTCTTCTCTGTATTTAATTTAATACCACCTACAATGTTAATCAAAGATTTATATAGCAGTGCGCTCATATTGGGTATAGGATATTTTCTGCGAAAGCTGTTTGTTTGAAGGGAGAGTATAAAATAAGAGATCGATGGAATGAAAAATAACTAGTGGAAATTTCCAATCCCTTAGGTTGATGGTCCACCCTCTGAAACAACATGAGCCTGTTCATATCTTTTTCTTTTTTTTTTAACACAAGTTTTAAAGTTTGATCGAATGAGAGATTAAACAATCTACACGCGAAATTGAACTAGCGATAAATAGATTATAATTCACGAGTCACGACAGCGACTCGTAAAACTGGAAAAACGTTTTTTTGAAACTGTCTGCGAAACTCAAGCTTCAATTCCAGAACGCTAACACTTCTTAAATATTTCTTGAGAAACCCATACACTGCTAGGCAGAGCGTCGCCAAATACTTATTTTGATAATTTTACCTTGTGTTTGTATTTGTTTCTCAACTTCAAAAAAAGGATAAATTAGTAATGACCAGTGAATAAACCAGTCTGACCACAAATCTCAGCCTTTTGGCAATGCACACAACTCGTACAGTTTGTTTTCTAGACGAATCATGGCCATTTGCCAAGCAGAGTTTATTTTCTGACTACAGATCATGACCATGCCGTCGCCGAGCTACAAAACATTTATTCCTGATTACGCAACGTCGAAAAATTCCATCGAATCTAACACGTGACTGGATAAATGCACTCATGATGTAGTGGGAGAATCTTTGCTTACGTCATTGGTTAGATTTTTCCTCATTACATACGACTTTGCTCAGAGAAGTCATCACGCTGAATACGAATTGACTACAAACTTTTAAAGAGCCTGTAAAATTTAGTAACTGGTGATATTTTGGTGTAATAGTTGAGGAGAAATTGGCTTTCAAAAACTGCA